ACAATACCCATGGAGCTGCTACTTTCTGTTTTTAAATAGTTAATTTTTTGTTAGAATATTATAATTATTTCATGCATAATAATAATTTCAAAATAATAATAAATTATACCGCTTTAGTTGCCGTCAAAATTCTTTGACCAATTTCTGCCAAATCCGCAGTGTGAACCAAACTATGTAGAAATGGTTTCATAGAAATGTCTGGAGAATGCTGCTGCACAGTTGCATCCAGCAACAGATGTGTAATATATCTTTCATTAAACGATATAGGTGATTGACATATTGGTGGATGCCATGGTAATGGATGCTTTTTCCATGGTTCTATATCAATCAATTCATTTACGAACAAATGTGTTCTAACAATAATATTCAGAAAAAAATATATTAGAATTAAAATATATTACGATATAATACAGCGTACAAAATTTGAAATACTTACGCATAACCTTTGTTTTCAGGCGATAAATAAATAGGTAAGTATTGTTTTCCATCTCCAAACATTAGCATAGAACTATCACAGTCAGATATCTTTGGCCAATATTCAGCTTCAAAATCTTCATTTCCTTTCTTAATTTCCACATTGTGATATTTTGGACTCCTTGTTGGCAACGCAAATAAATTATTGTACTCCATATTTAATTCCGTAATTATGTCTGAAATAATATTAAGTGGATTTTCTATACTTGATTCATTCAGTTTACACTTGTTATAAAAGTCATAAAAATACCTTTTGTAATACGATTGCTGCGCTCCTTTACTTGTTTTTGTAAATTTTTCAACAGGTGAAGACTAACATGAACATTCTGTAACATGTTCTCAGCTATTTTTTTTCTATCTCCCAAATCCATGTAAGATAATATAATATTATTATCAATATGATGAATTGACCTTTCAACCGGGTTTATCGTAAGTAAATGTAGATTTTGCTCTCGCGCAAAAGCGAGCTTAATTTCTCTGGTAGCAGATTTAATATTTTGCTCCCAAAGCATATGCTCATAGAGTTTAAACCACTCTTCCTTCCAGTCGTGATATGCATGTATTTCTGACAACACATTTCGCAAACGTCTGTAATTATAATCATAAACATTTAATCAGCACTGTTATTAAACTGAGAATAACGATGTCAACTTACTGATCAAATAATAACAAAGATGTTTCTAAAAAACGATGACAGAATATGGCATATTTCATCTGTTTGGCTTCTAATGTGTCAGGTGCCAATTTCAAACAATTATCATAACACGCTGCAGATCGATCGAAGTCGCCAAGGAACGTGTAAATGTGACCCAACGCCAGATGATGATGACTTTCTGTTGGATTATAATCTATCGCCGCATGTAAAATAATCGCGGCTTCACCAGAATATCTTGCAGCGTGTAAAATGCCGGCAGTAGTCAGAAGAGGAATATCACGATATTGCCTTAATCACGTACAATGCTTCCATTACGAAATCAATAAAACTACAGTCATCTTCTAGTGATACTTTTCTCTAGTATCTATAACAATATAAACAAATTTCTTATTATATTACCTTGAAGCACATACAATCGCTCTACGACTGCACTCTAAAGCATTGTAAGCATCTCCCCTAATCCGCCAATAAACCGATGCTAAATTCAAATATATCCAAGAGGTATTATTGCGAGATAAGCTGTAGGCAAGTTGATGACCAAATTGATTAAGATCAGTATTAAACGGTAAATACTTCATTAAACTGAGTTCTTCATGTTGCATAAGATTTTTTCGGTTCTGCATTGCCTAATAAACAAAAATGATGTTACAAACATGTTGTGATTTCTGTATAAAAAATATTCTACCTACTTTAAGATGTTCAAAAGTGTATATACTGAAATCTAACGGAAATGTTTTCTGACAATCAGGAACTGTTGGTTTACTATTAGCCACCACATTATATAACATGTAATCAGTTTGACTGTAACAAAAGTTACATCATCCTTCAATGTTCAACAAATAAGTACATAGGCTACTTTCAGAAAACACAATGAAAACTTGTTGCTACTGATATTATAAATATATTGTTTTTAGATATCTATTTGAATTACAGATAACAATTACTAAGCCCTCACTTAATTGTTGTGTTTTCTGAATATAAAAAAAAATGTACTAAATTCTAATAAATCATTTATTTAGACAGTATCAGCTATCCATAAGTCTTTACTAAATATAAAGTTATATTTATTTGGTAGAATCAATAAATTGATTTAATTATTTTTTTATTAAGTAAATATTTAATCACTGTAAGTGAATATTTAATTATTCAAATAAATATTTGTTAAAATTTAGTACATTTTTTCAGTGTAGTAATTCAAAAAATATAAGAATTGAATAAGCACTGAGTAATTATTATCTGTGATTGTAGATCTTCAGATCTATGAATATATCAGAAAAATATATTAATAGCAGCAAGAGTTTACTCCACTGTTGTGTTTGCTGAACGCAGCTATATTTTCTCAAATTTATGACTAATAATAACTTACTCTATGCCATCTTTAAGTCTATAATCGATTATTATACTAGCGTGCACATCGACGTCAGCTAATGATTTGTCCCATGAGAAACAGTCTGAATTTGAATTTTCTGCATCAACTATGCTTAGACCAACAAACTGATTATCAATGGATACTTCTTTCCTTGATATTTTGTTGTATATGGCATCAGCTGTTTCTCTGCGTTTTTCCTGTTCCAAAAATCCCAAAAGATCATACGGTCGACGCATATCAAAGACACTGTCATGCTGGAAATGTGAAAAAGAACTTAAAACTTAAATCAAATAATCACATCTGTCAATAAAATTGCTAGATCATTATGAGATAATGTGATGTTTACATTTGCATGTGATGATTCCATTGAAAATAATCGAAGCCAGATATTCGCGTTTCCATTGAATTATAAGAAAAGAAAGATACTCACTTGCGGTTGAATTCTCCCATTTTCCGTGACATACCAATGTTTGGTGGCCGAAATTTCAAGTATCACCGCAAGCACCGTGACAATCCTGCAGGACACGTTGCTCCGAATCATTTTCCGCGGTATAACCCCATACGACATGCCACAGGCTTCACCGAGTCTGCGAGAAAAACTTAACAACGTAGACCATTGCTGCGAAAACGTGCGCGTTTCTGCACACAAGTTTCGCAAGGAACTAGTGAAAACAGCTACTACGTCGCGAAATTTCCTACCGGAATGATTCAGGTCGATTCGAAATGATTCGAAACACGATTACGACGCGGATCAGTGACTGTCAATAACAACGGCCGTCACTTCAATGTTGTGTGATATCGAGTTGTGTTGTTAGTCACTGATGATATGACACCATCACATGTAATAAAAAATTAAACATGAAATATGTGTATGTACATTACTAAATTCAATTATCACGAGAAATAAAAAAATGTGTTTTTTGACAATCAAAATATTTCTAAAAATACTGTTAATTGCTATAGGTATGTAAAGTGCAGAAAGTGCAGAACATGTGGAAAATACAGAAAGAGCCAGAAAAAGACTTTGTAATAATATAGTTGAATTAACTTTTCCTTATGTTCAAAAATGGCAGTAAAGAATCATTACACATTTTTACAAAAAAGTTATTAATAATTTAGTATAAAATAATAATATCCAAAAATTACTATAATAATTCTATAAAATTCAATTTTAAACTAATATTTTTTAATATTATTTTTTTGTATTAGTGTTTTATTACTATATTCTATTATATATTTTACAAAATATATTTACATAAATACATTATATTTATAAATAATGTACAATTAATAATTAATTAAATTATTTCTCGATTAAATTCAATTTTTTCATTTTATATATATTCTCCGTAGCATTAAATTAAAATGTACAAAATCTTTCAATTATTACCATGTAAAATTGTTGAGTTCTGTTATAATAGCATCTCATATCTCTAATTGCGATCGATGTTCCGGAAGGCACTCTTTTACATCCTTTTGTGCTTGAAATAATAATGTTAGATTAGAGCTAGTAAATATGTGGAAAAAAATGAGTAAATTCCTAAAAATTTGAACATGTGATAAATCAGTTTAGCCAAAAAGTTTATATTAATTTTTGCATATTTTTTCTAATTAACTGTTCTGATATATACTGCTACTGAAAATCTATAGTTTGTGTCACATACACTATAATTTTTAGCACTAAAAATTACAATGCACAATATGGATTTTCAGTAGCAGCATTTTCATATATCAGAACACTATAGTTAGTTAGATATAAAAAAGTTATGCAAAAATTAATATGAATTCTTTGGCTAAATTAATTTGTATCACATATTCAAACTCCCTATACTTTATAGATTCTATTATTATTAAAAGTTCGTTTATTTTTTCTCATTTCAATCAAATTCAATCAAAATGAAATTGATAGATTATTATATTTTCGTGTAAAAATAAAAAAATATTCTCAGCTCTCAAATTAAATTAAAAATCTCAATAGGTTAGGTAAACACAAAATTCTTTTTTATGTATAACAACGTAGAGTGTTTTTTACAAAGAACATTTTTACATTATTACGCTTCTAAGAATCGCAATAAACTCTCTTATTATCGCAGTTACACAGACAACTCGTAAGAACACCTGCAATCGTTATTATTGCAATCGTCGCAAAGTATGATAATTTTAGTTTTATCTTTCAAACGGTATAACTAATATGCGCGTATTTGCGTCGCACTAACTTCGATCGTTCGACAAAAGTCCACGCATTTGCATTATTTTCTTCTTCATTTACAAACAGTCGCGACGTATTTTACTATACTACGTACAATCGCGAATCTCCTACGAAATCTTCAATCGCGCTTTTCCCTGGCCTTGACGGCCTTGGCAGGGATCAGTATCTCTTTAATTTTCTTCATCGAGGTATCTACGCCGAGATAGTCCGCGCTTGCGTGCAGCTGCGGCCTGCACTCTCGGCTCCGACTGTTCCGCCAATTGCGGAATGTTATGAAAGTCCTCGAGACTCCGGCGGCACCGTTCCTATCCATCGTCTTCGTAGCGTGAACGGAACGCGGATCGGAATCCGCGAGTAGTCGGTGGATAGTCAGGGCCGAGATCGCGAACGCGCAGTGCGAGTTCTCTTCACAACGGGCGGCGCGGTGAGAACCACCCTTGTCTCGTAGCCATGAGTCTGGTGCGGCAAAACTTCCACGAGGAGTGCGAGGACGCGCTTAACAAGCAAATCAATTTGGAGCTATACGCCAGTTATGTCTATCTGTCCATGGTCAGTCGGCGTATTGATCATCAGGCTTAGTTCTGCAGCATTCCCAGCTTTCAGTTTTCAGTCACCCCTTCGCCCTCGGTCGCGCGATCGAAACACCCCCCGCGCGTGCAATGTACACCTGAACGTTTTCCCTCGTCGATATAATGCGATCCGAGGCAACCTGATTAGATATAGACCTCTGTTTCTTGCTCCTATATGTCGTACACGTGCGCCTCTCTCAATGCTACCAGCTTAAATCTTTCATACCACTCTGGATATTAAGTATAAATAAAAGTTACATCTATAGAATTAGAGACGTTACGAGAGAAATACCTTTTTGTATAATTACCTCTTTTATTTATTGAATACATTAGTCATTACAATGTATTAAAGTTCCATTGCGCCTTTCGCTAACTCTTGCTATCTGCCTTTCTAATCTGATACTACATATTAATAAATAAATGTAATAAATTCTTGGTACAACTACGTGCAGTTTTCATATTGTCCATCAAAGTTCGCGTGACAAAAGTTCTCCACTGCAATTGATCGAATGAACGCGTTTGTATATCCAACTGGTTATTTGCGGTACCGAATTAAATAAATCGACGAATATTGATCGTAAAACCCGATCTATAATGGATACAGTAAACCCTTAGCACCCTTTTGAAGTTTTTTTGCATATGCCATTTGTATATATAAATAAAGAGAAATAATACAAAATAAATGAAATCGCTTTAAAAGACTTGTAAAAATGGACCGAAATTATCTTTATCTCCCTGACAGTCAATAAGTAATCATAAATGATACATGAAGTGAAAAATAGGCTTAAAAGCTTATAATATGCGTATTTTCACTTCACGTGCTTTTCACGATTATTTACTGACTGTCAGAGGAGATAAAGCTTCGGTTCATTTTTACAAAAGTTTTAAAAAAAATTTCATTATTTTGTCTTATTCAAATCTTTTTCTTTATTTACAGACGGCGTGCAAGAAACTTCAATTTGTTATTTCTTGCTTATTGTTGTATGTTGTATGGTACGGTTATTGTAATACTACAAATGCTGTGAAGCATTCTTCGATTAATAAATTCATAAAATTCTTTCTTCTCATTGGTCACTCAAACGCTTCAAAGTATTTGTAATGATTTTGTTCGCGCCATATAATGTTACGATTTCATATGATTTTAAAGTTCCGGTCATCACAAATGTAAAGAATTCAGAGCAAAAGATTTTTCTGGTGAAAATTTTTCTTGAAATTCTTTACATAATTTTTTAAAATTTTATATACATTTGAATTTTTTAGAATTTCTGTATAATTTTTCAATTTTTTAAATACAAATTAGAACACTTTTCGGAAATTCTAGAAAAGTCCACATTTCTTTTTTAGAATTTTTTAATATAATATATGAATTTTGAAATATTCTAAGATTTTTTATTCTATAATTTCTAAAAAAAATTTCTAATATCTGGAAAAATTCAATATTTTTTCAGAAATCTTATTAACTAAAAATGTAACAAATTCTTTAAAATACTACGAAATATTTCGAGAATTTTTTTCACTAGAGATACTGCATGTATGCTTTGTAAATAATTTACTTTTTCCTGAACTTCTTGCACCGTTCATATTTTTTTTTCTTTTTCTCTCTAACCTGAAGAGAAAAAGAAGAGATAAATAGTACAAGAAATTCAGCTGAAAAGAACAGATATCTGGTCTAAACCTACTGATTGTAGGCGATTCCTTGTCGGAATTTGTCCTAATGTCCCACATCCTGCACGCTGCATCCTTCCGCATGCGTTTCAGGCGTACTACTTTGACAGAAGCGATGTCGCGTTACCGGGTCTGTATAAGTACTTCAAGAAGGCGTCGGACGAGGAACGCGAACATGCCATGAAATTTCTGACTTATCAGAACAAACGAGGTGGCGACGTCGTGCTGACGGACATCCAGGCGCCGTCCAGGAGAAACTGGAACAGCGCGAAAGACGCTATGATGGAGGCTCTACAGCTAGAGAAGAGAGTAAATCAGGTGTGTACTCTCTCTGTGTGTGTGTGTGTGTTTTGCGTGAACGCATGCGCACGTATTAATTGATTCCATCAGAAATAACGTGTCGAGGTAAAAAAGGAATACCTTAATTCATTACTTAGCGAATATGTTAAATTTTTAGTTAAATGATCTCTCTTTTCTCCTCTAAACCTACAACATATCTCAGTTTGATCAGTCATTGAAATAAAAAAAATGTGGCTTATAACTTTAAGAATTCCTTCTCATTATATCTTTCACAAGCGATCCGATAAAATTTATGTACAATGTTGTTGTCGAAGATTGTTAAGTTATATAATATACAATATATAGATATTGTTTGCCATAAATTTCAACATTGAAATTAAAATATTTTACTAACAAGAGAATCTTGAATAATTTTAATTTTAATTTTAATAAATAATTTTCTACATCCATACAAGTTACGTAGATTTAGAAAATATTTTTTAATTTAGAAAATGTCAATTAATGTTAATAGAGGAAAAATAGTAGTTTTATAAAAGGTAAAACCATTTATAAATAAAGCGATTTTTAGCTTTTTTTGTTATATCTTAAAAATTATTTAAAATATCAAAAAACGTTTTATACAGAAGATTTATAATAAAATTATTTTTATTTATCTACATCAATACTATTTTTAAAACATAATTTTAAAAATATTATATTAACATATAT